TGGTTTTTACCGCACAGACACGCCACTCAGCGTAACTTATACCAGGGTTGTTGTACTGCGGTTTGCTTGTATTCATATATAGAATGAACAGAACAATTATCAATAACGAACGAAAACATGAAGTACTAGTGTTCCCTGTATTTGTATACGGTAAGGGAATTGGATAAGGAACCGTTGGGTAAACAAATCCAAGGTCTGGAAGCCCGTGGGACCCCAATCGTGGATTGGCACTGGATATCACCGCCGCTCTCATCAGATGAGGACCCCCCCGGCGCATTCCTTACCGAACGCCCCCGCCGTATGTGTGTCATTGGGATGGCGTTTGCCACGTCTAGTGGTTACCTGGGCGAATCGTATGAATCGTTGTTTTCTTAATGGTTTGCTTGTTTCAAAGGAGAACGACCCGAAAAGCTTACCATATTCTCGCAGCGCATGGGCTAAAACTGTTGCCTGTAGTATTATACGTACGCCGTTGTAGTCGCATTTGCCGCATATAGCTTACTTCTGCGAATCTTACGGGTCGTTGTTTTCTTAGTCGTTGAAGTGCTTTCACAAACGAATGAACACCAACAGCGACAACACCCCCAAAAACAAACACATGAACGAATCTTGCTTTCTGGATGTTTCACATGCGCGCAGTTGTGTTACCACGTGCCACACATTGCTCACTCGTGGGATGTGTATGAATCGGTGGTTTCTTGATAAGTTGTTTGTTTCCATCGGCGAATGAGCGAACAAGTATCAAAAACAGATAAACCCATGATGTAATTTTGTTTTCGCGATACTTATTTTTACGCCGAGTTCTTAACGCCTGCCACACACTGCCTACCTGTATACATATACGGTTGAAACGCACGATGATCTGCCCAAACGCACAAGTTCAACGGCGCGTCGATAAACGCATTGGCAATACATCAAATATGAGGCGTTCGTAAACCATTCATGTCCCTGCTTTCTTGTCCGCCGCCGCACTGGCTTAGCCAAGAGCTCCTCTCTGACAGAGCGATAACATTACCTTAGCAGTTTTTCCACGTTCAACGAAAAGAATAAGTTGACGATTTTACACGTCCGAACTTCATATTCGATTCGTTCCATATGCGGAAACTCTACTTTGATTAGTTTATTGGGGGGCACAACTGCATCCCGCCTACTGACACATTTTCTCCATGTCCCTGTCCTCGGGACCTGCGAAATTGTACGGCATCTCGTATTGCACGTAACTATTAACATCGTATGCAATAGAGAACCATCGCATAATGAACACTGCCCTGAAATATCCAACGCCAGTGATACGTGAGTGTGTTTTGAACGATCCTGCAGAATATTCAAATATCTTCTCCGTTGTGTCCAAGTCGCGCATGAAGTCTCGTACCTAATCAGTGTGGTATCCGTAATTGACGTTGCCAAACCGAGAGCTACGTTTCACCTCAGATGTTGACCCTTCCACCTTTTTACATCCTTTTGCTTCATTAACTGGTGGCACGATGGCATATCGAAATTCGTCAATTGCCTGGTTGCTTCAGTCATCACCGGTACATTGAGTCATGCCCTGCTCCCGAAATAATTCTGACAGGGATGATTAGCGACGGCTTGCTACCAGACGAAGCATAATAGTCAATCCTCCTGGGTGTTCACCAACTCCTAAATTTATTTCTCTTCACGTATTTCCGCGAGGGTTCAGGGACTAGGTCCCACTGAACATGTGGATTGTGTATCTGAAACAAACTCATCATTGAACAGATACACCACGTGCTGTTTTCCATGGCCTTTGCAACAGCACATGTATGTAGCTTGCCTGTTTTGCTATACGACATTGACAAGACCTGTTCACGGATCCGCACCTTTTCGCCTGACTTACTTACACCCGCTGCGCCTAGAACAGGCACAAGAGGACTGACATCTGATGACCACATAAGTTATCAAACGCAGAAAAAGTACATGACGCAAAATGTTGGTCTTGAATGTTTATATGTACGCCGTTATACGAGCGTTTGCCACACATTGCTTATTTGTGCGATTTGTTCGAATCGTAGTTTACTCTGTGGGGGAGTGAACCTCAAATCCTGGCTGCTCCGGGCCACCACTGGATTCTCATGATGACGCCAACCCGCGGCAAGAACGGCCCGAGAGGCCTCCAAGATTGCCCGAAGAGGCTCCGAAGTGAGCCTCAGGAGGCCAAGACGGCCCAAGATGGCCCCAAGATGTCCCACAATGGCCCCAAGACGGCCCAAGATGCTCCCAAGACGGCCCCAGAGGCCTCCAGAGGCTTCCCAAGAGGGCCCCACGAAGCCAAAATCAACGATTTTCCTGACGTGTTTCAAGGTTTTTGGCCTTCTCGCCTTTTCGGCTTTCCGACGCGCCGAGGCGAACCAAGAGGCTCCCAAAATCGCCCCACGACGGCCCTAGAAGCCCCCATGACGGCCCAAGAGGCTCCCAAGACGGCCGAAGAGGGCCCCAATACGGTCCAAGAGGCGCCCCAGACGGCCCAAAGGGCCCTAAGCTGGTCCACGAACCGAAAACTTGACCTTTCCGCTCCCAGAGAGCTCCAGGAGGCCCCCAGAAGGTCCCAAGAGGCCCCAGGAGGACCCCAAGAGGCCCCCAAGAGGCTCAAGAGACTCGAACTATGCCCCAAGAGGCTCCAAAACGGCTTCCAAGAAGCTCCAACAATGACCTCCAGACGCTGCCGAGAAGCCTGCCACGCGAAGCACCCACGGCGCTATCCACGCAACCGCACGCACTAGAACTACGGGGGCCTGCGGCAGAGGGCGAAACCCACTATACATATATACATATATATATATATATATATATATATATATATATTGGATTGAGCACACCCGCCTCCGCCGTCCTGACACCGTCAAAGACGGCCCACAGGGTTCCCAGGATCGCCCCAAGAAGGCAGATGAGGCCCCCATGAGAGCCCCATGACGGCCCCCAAACGAGGCCCCGAGACTGCCGAAGGACCCCCAAGACTCTCCAAGAGAACCCCAAGAGGACCCTAAGAGGGGCCCAAGAAGGGGGATACGAACTGACATTTCGAGCCTATGTCCCCAAAATGGCCCCAAGAGTCCCGCCCGACGCCCCCCAGGCGCCCACAAGAGGCCCGAAGAGGCCTCCAAGGAGTCCCCAAGAAGCCCCCAGGAGGCCCCCAAAAAGGCCCCAAAGGCCCCCCAGATGCCCCCAAGAGCCCCCCTAGAGGCCTCTGACAGGCATCCCACGAGCCTTCAGAATGCATCCAAGAAGCTCCTGCCCACCAGACAACTTCCAAGATCGCCGCAAGCACTCGCTCCTTCTGAAGGTCAACGGAAATGCGCAAGCCACTTCACTAACTATTGGATGCCCCCTTTCAAGGGTGCTGCTGGGCTCCCTGTGAACTAACCCCGTCCTCCCACGCGGTGTTTGTTTCACGATGCGGGTCAAGGAGCTCTTAACCGCATCATAAGGTTATGTTTCGCGTTGGGTCAATTTCGGATTGTCCCAGGGCCAGTGACGGGCAAAAAGACCTTGAGCGGTCAGAATAAGGAAGACCCCCCTGGTGGAGCCCTCCCAAGCGGGGTCCGAGAAGATGGGATCGGGGGAACGGGCCGCACCGCCGATGTATCGGCGACGATGCAACGGCGACGTCGGCAATGCTCTGGCGCCGTCGATACAGAGAGAAGCAGGCTCCACATCGAGCCGCATCGCCGATGCATCGGCGGTGCTGCGCGATCCTCCGACCCCGTCTGCTCGGACCCCACTTGGGAGGTCTGTACCCAGACAAGCCTAACTTGCAAAAAAACCTTCGAAACATCAGACATCGATCGAAACTCCAGAAGGCCTCCGCAGAGCTCCAAAGAACCATCGAGAGGTATCACCACAAACCTCCGACAAAGCCCCGGAAGATTTCCCAAACGCCGCTGGCGCATCGCCCGGCCGCCACACTGGCCGCGGCGCACCAGAAAGCGTCGCCACCGCCGCCGACCTCGTCCCCGAAAAAATGTGCCAAGAAGGACATGAATATTAGTAGGTGCTCTTTCTGGGGACCTGCCTGGAGCCACTCGCTCCACTCAGGCGTCGATGCTGCGTCGAACGGCCGTCGACCAGAGTCGAACTTGAGCCGAGCGAGAGTCGATGTCCAACTCGAGTCGAACTAGAGCCGCAAAGATCCGTCAGGTGGGCCCCGGGGAATTGTCTGAGGTAGCTCGGCCCCGCGAAAATAGGCCAAGAGGGGGGGATGAAGGCAAATCCGCAGCAAAATCGATCCGTGGACCCCTCCCTGGGCCCATCTGCTTCAGATTTTGACCCCAGATCTGCTTTCGACGGCCCTGGGGCCTGAAACCGGACCCCCGAAGGCAACAAAACCTTCTCGAACGCAGCGCCTCGAACCTCGCCCTTTGCCGCCGTCTCTGTCGCAGTCGCCGACTGCCGTCGCCATCGCCGCCGCCCGTCACCGTCGCCGCCGCCGTCGCCGACCGTCGCCGCTGCCATCCCACGGCGGCCGCGGCGCGCACCGGAGAGCTCCGAGGCCCCGCCGACCCCGCGGCCAGGGCTTCCGCCGCAGCTACCTCGGTGAAACGCCGCCGCCACCGCCGCCGTCGCCGTCGTCGTCGTTGTTGTCTTCGTTGTCGTCGTCATCTTCGTCGTCGTCGTCGTCGTCTTTGGTCTTCGAAGGGTTTCGAAGGTTTTCGAGGGTTCTCGGGGTCTTCGGGGTTTCTATTCGTCGAGGGGTTCTCTGAGGCCCGTTCGCCACCAGGTCTTTGAATTTGAAGCTACTGGGCGGTGGCGGAGGCGGAGGTCTCGAAGGAGGGAGCGGGGCGGCGGTGGCACGGGCGGTCTGGTCGAAGTCAGGGACAGCAGCACGGGTGGCCTCGCCGTCGTAGCCCTGCTGAGACTCTCGGAGGTCGGAGGTCGTCACTTTTCGTGTTCGGCAGAAGGTAATACAGATATACACATATATATATATATATATATATACGGAGCAAAAACATGTGCACCATCACCACCTTCCCGCCCCCTGCTTCTCCCAGAAAAAAAGGGAGGAAGAGGAGGAAAGAGGAGGGCGGAGAAATGGAGGTGGTGGTGGTATAGATTCCTGGGACCCGCAATAAACGATCGAGAGTCGAAGCTGCATGAGGCCCGTTTTTTGAGCCTCTGGGGGCGCCGCTCGTCGTCACGGCGGGATCCGTCCCGAAAGCTTGGTCAGGACGCGCTTCAGGAGAGGTCGGGGGGTGGAGGAGGAGGAGGAGGAGGAGGAGGAGGAGGAGGAGAAGGAAGAGTAGGAGGAGAAAGAAGATGAAGAGGGGGAACACGGAAGGGAGGAGCTCTTGCCCTGCCCGCCGCCCACATGGGGCTTGTCATCGTCGCCGTCGGGCAGACACCCCAAACATACTCACAACATGATGCTTCTACGACCTGAGAATAAGCCAATACGAGGATAAAACTAGGTGAGGATACATCGAGCATCTCTGAGATCCGGCGGCTCTGGAAAATGTCTCGGGCGCCGCGGCCTTCTCAGAGCGTTCCGGAACGCTCTGAGAGTATTACCGACCGCTCTGGAACGGATTTATCCTCGCCCTAGCCCCGTCCGAAAACAACCCAAACATATTCCCAACATGCTGCTTCTGTCCAAACTATTCCCGACATGATGTCTCTGCCCGTGCTGCCGGGAACAACACATTTCTGTGGCTGAACACACGGAGTCTGGCTCCGGGTCCCTGGGAGGCGTGTGAGATGGATATATTGCCACCCGTGGGAGCGGACGGACTTCCATACCCACAAATTCTTGGGGGCAGAGGAAGCGACTCCGAGGCTGCGGATACGGGATGGCATATGCGGACATACTCTGGCGGTGGAGGGAAGCAGTGGATCCACGCAGGTCTAATGCACACTGCGCGTCTACGTCACGACTATCATCGTCCGATACGCTACCAGCGGCAAACATTTAGTAATGAGCATGCACGCCTCTCAATCGGTAAACTATGATGGCATGCACAATGATACAATACAACATGACCGACACATGTTCTACGGGTTAGAATATCGCCATCCAGTATGTTTGCTCGCACATGCATATCGGCGTCCGCGCCCCCTGGCACCTGCCAGGGCTGCCTGGCCAAGGTTCTGTGGTTTTCCCAGGCCCCCCTGGCGTGGACTTCCAAGACTTGCGCCAGGATGAATCCATGCTCGGAAGAGGAAAAGGCACCCCTACCGCCACCTTTCTCTCGTTCTCCACTTTCTGGGCCACCTCGGAGGCCCTCGCCGCCATCGCTGGATTCGCCTCGGCATTCTGGTCAGAACGCACCCTGGGAGAGGTCCGGGGAGGGAGCAGCGGTATCGGTACATTTGGGTTTCCGCACATGCACCCTCTGGTGGCGAGCGCAACAGTGCAGGGGGAGGGTGGAATGCTTCTTACAAGAAGGCTGCTTCCCAGAAGGCACGAGCCTTACACACACACACACACATATATATATATATATATATATATATATATATATACATGTCGGCGGTGCCCGGTGCGGAGCGACCCCCCCCCCCCGGTAATCTGTCCTGGGGGGGTTCGAGCTGGCGCCATTCCCGGTGCGAGCCTGCACGAACCCCCCCGGTAAACACGATCTCCTCTGGTAGGCTGCACGAAACCCCCCGGTAAGGACGCAACCCCTCCGTAAGCGGCGCGCTCCCGGCACGCGCGAACCCCAGCCCCGACGCGCGAATCGTACCAGGACGAGCAGGAGGAGGAACTGGCATTCCTGTTGTTCGCACTGCTGGGCTCGTGGCCACAATACGAAAGGCTGCGGCGCAACTCGCATGCTTGTGGCCCCAATCTGCATTACAAAGGACGAGGAGGAGGACGAGGAGGAGGAGGAGGAGGACGAGGACGAGGAGGAGGAGGAGGAGGAGGAAGAGGAGGAGGAGGAGCAGGAGGAGGAGAAGGAGGAGGAGGAAGAAGAGGAGGAAGGCGAAACAAAGGCGAGCAGACGCGAATAGAGAACACAAGGCGAGCACACGCCACACTTCGACAGGGAGCCACCCTTCCCAACCGCCCCCCTGCCCCACCCCCCTCCCAACCCACCCCCCACTCCCACCCCCCCACTCCCACATGGGGGGGGGGGGGAGCCCAGGTAGACACAGCGCGGCCTGCACGAACCCCCCCGGTAAAGCGACAGGGGATCACCCAATGCGGCCTGCACGAACCCCCTGGTAAAGCGGCAAGGGGGGGGGTGTTCTAAGCCGCTGGCGGCACCCGGTGCGGGCTGCACGAAACCCCCCGGTAGTGCACGAAACCCCCCGGTAGTGCTGGGGGGGGGGTTCGTGCCACGGCGCACCGCCGACATATATATATATATATATATATATGTCTATATATCTATGTACACATCGATACAGATACACCTAGTTATACATACACATGCATACATACAACTATGTATATAAATGAGGCCCGCGCCTTCAAGAAGCAGGGTGTGTCTACGTACCCCCACCTGCGCGAGGCTGAACCCTGGCGTCGCGAGAAGTTCACGACGGAACAGCGTGACGAGATTGTAGTCTCTGGGGGCCCTATAACCTTGGGCCCTGAAGCTATCGACAAGATAACACAGCATGAAAAACCAGTCCCAGGGAAAGGGCTCAGACCTCCCAAGGTCAACGTTGCGCAACCAATCACGATCCACTCGCAACAACTGGAAAACATAGCGGCGTGTCCTGGGTCCACAGGAGGCCCGCCGGGCAAGATGAAATGCGGACATCTAGCATGAGGAGTGAAGGAAGAACGCGAGACGAGCGAGGAGGGCAGCTGCCAGCATGTGTACACACCCCAGCGGCATCAGCACTTCCGATAACTCACGCGTGTACGGATTTGCGACAGATGGGGAAGAAAGAGCATACTCGTGAGGTCAAATCACGACGCGCAAACCAAAACAGTTCGTATGGACCGGCCGATGCAGTGAATCACGCGTGCGAGCATCACCCGGCCGTTGGCGCCGTTCTTGCGGTGGCCCCCCTGCTCCTCCTCCTGCGCCTCCCTCCTCCTGCACCGTCAAGTTTTTGAGCCGTTCCTCCTGCGCACGGCTCGTGCCTCCTTACTCCGCACAACGTCATAAGGAAATGCGTTCCAGGCAAACGTGACCCGTTGCGTCGAGTCCGCGGTTTGGGCTCAGCCGCGCGTTGGAGGGAAAGTGTGCACGGGGGTTCTTAGCTGGACGGGCCACGAGAAAGCCTGTCACGAGGGTGGGATGAAGCAAATTCCAATCAAAATCTGTCCCCCGACCCTTCCCGGGGCCCATGCAAAAACCCTTGTCGGACCCAGCGCCTCGAAGCTCCCCACCCCCACCCCTTCCTGCTCGCCATAACCACTGCTGCGCCACCTGAGCCCCCAAGTCAACTGCAACCTGGGGGAACAGGAGATTTATTAGTCGGGGGGACGCACAGGTGGGATAGGGGGCAGAGGTGGGATTGGACGAGCATCCATCTAAACCACTCCTGGGAGAACGAACTGTGAGCAGCCAGCTGACTTCGTTCACTAACCCCACCTTGGGATACACCCCCTCTACGTACCTTGGGTAGGGCATGTCCTCCTACAGGCGGATTTTGGACGAATGAAAGTAATCAAAAGCATCGAAACATATTCGAGAATCATATGTCGTATTTTCTTTGATAAGAAACCTTCCCATGCTATTTTTGCCGATTTGACAACAATCCGCCTGTAGAGGGACATGCCCGACTCCATACGAACCGCCGCATTGACATCGGTGCTCCCAGGCCCTCTCGCGGCGTGCGTCCCGACCTGCGCGGGCCTCCGTTGCCCCCCCGTCCTTCGCGCCGAGGCCCTCGAGCGCCGCCCCCCGCAGCGCCCCCAGGACAGCCGACGGTCGTGCTCTGAGCTCCCAGGTGGAGTCGGAGGATCGCGCGGCATCGGCGATTGGACCGCATGTGCATCGGCGATGCAGCGGCGACGTCGGCGACGCATCGGCGCCGCCAGCGTGGAGAAAGCTGGGCTCCACATCAGGCCGCAGCGCTGATGCATCCGCGATGCGGCGCTATTCTCCGACCCCATCTGCTTCGACCCCATGTGGGGAGGCTTCGAGTTCTACAACTCGGAGCTCTGTATTCTCGTGATTGTCGTCGTCCGCCACCCCTCCCCCGGCCTACCCCTGGCGATATGGCCCACGCCCTATATCTGATCGTGCAAGAGCCAGGGCGCGCGTGCCACGTGCTTTCGCAACGTGCCTCACCAGAGGTCTGCACCCCGTCCGGGGGCCCTGCCCTTCATCTCTTGTGCCGTTTCTTGACGGCCCTGGGGAGCCCAGTATGCGGGGCCCACAGGGGCCGAAAACTGCCATACACCTTCGGCAGCGCTGTTGTTCAAGGCGCGTGGATGTCAGTATAATAAAAAACATAAACATCTGGATCTCCGCGCAGATTTCTTGGATCTGCGCTGGACCACCCTCCCTGGCGCACGGAGCGCGCCAGAGAGGGCGGTGCCGGAAGCGCCGCCGGAGAGGCCAAGCGCGGATCCGAGAAATCCGCGCGGAGCGCCAACAGTTTATGTTTATGACGATTGGTCTTCTTCGAAACAGGACCCAAGGCTGCTTCCAGGAAGCCCCAGCAGCGGGCCCCCCAGCTGGCGCACGATCAGGTCGCAGGGACCGCGCGGAGAAGGAGGAGGTGGAGGAGCAGGAGGAGGAGGAGAAGGAGCAGGAGGAGGAGGAGGAAGAGGAGGAGGAGGAGGAGGAGGAGGAAGATGAGGATGAGGAGAAGGAGGAGCAGGTGACGGAGGAGGAAGAGGAAAAGGAGAAGGAGAAGGAAGAGGAGGAGGAGGAAGAGGAGGAGGAAGAGGAGGAGGAAGAGAAGGAGGAGGAGGAGAAGGAGGAGCAGGAGGAAGAGAGGAGGAGGAGGACCCCTGCCCGCGCGCCGCAACGCCCGCCTCCCGGAGCGCCGCCCTGGCCGCGCTCGGGGCTGCGCCGGGGGCTGCGCCAGGGGCTGCGCTGGCGCCGCCGCCGCCGCCACGACCTGGCGGCGCAGGGCCAGAGGAGGGAGACCACCTTCGAAGGCTGAAGAGGAGGAGGAGGAGGAGGAGGAGGAGGAACAGGAGCAGGAGCAGGAGGAGGAGCAGGAGGAGCAGGAGGAGCAGGAGGAGTAGGAGGAGGAGGAGGAGGAGGAGGAGGAGAAGAAGTTCGCAAGCCCTGGGGCGTTCTTCGTTGCCCGCGCCCTCGTGGCCACGGCCAGATCCGGCCCGAGGCCCTGGCTGGAGCCTTTTCTTATAGATTCAAGCGAGTTTACTTGCATGGCGTTCGCCCCCGCCCCCCCCCTCGCCCCTCTTCGCACGAAAACTGGCGTGCAAATGCCTCTTGACTTGCGTGATCTCCGCACGCGCAATTCGTTTGTGGCCTGCTTCAGGTTCCGCCCTCCCCCACCATGCACGTAAACTTGCAGAAGCCTAGAAGAAACAAGCTCTTTCGAAGGCCGAGGTCTTCGCAAGCCTACTATGGGGCGTTCTCCGTTGCCCTCTCGGGACGCCCTCGTGGCCACGGCCAGATCCGCTCCGAGGCTCGCAAGCCCTGGAGCGTTCTTCGTTGTCCTCTCGGGGCGCCCTCGTGGCCGCGGCCAGATCCTCCCCGAGGCCCTGGCCAGTGCGCACCCCTGGATAGGTCCGGAGAGGCACCCCGGTGCGGCGAGTCGGCCAGGTCGGCGGCCGGTCGGACCCACGCGGGCCGGAGGTCGCTCGCTCGCGCTGGCCCTGGGCCGAGGGGAGGTGGGGGTGGTGGTGCTGCTGCTGCTCGGGTCAGCCGCGCCCCTTAGCGCGCGTCGGGTGGGGCGGGGGCGCGGGTGGGGGGGGGGGGGATGAGGGCAGACGGTATCATTACGTAGAGGATCAAGAAACGGTAGAAACGGTATACGTTTTGGACACCCGAAATGGGTACCGAAAGAATGGGCAACATGCCCAACAACAAATGTTGTCCCGAACCAACAGCGGCCGCTGTTGGGCAGGCGGCCTTCTGTCTCAAATGAACACAGGCCGCGGCGGCGCGGACAGCGAGTCCCGTTCAAAATGAACAGGAGCTGCTGTTGGGCATCGTACCCATTCTTTCCGTACCCATTTCGGGCGTCCAGATACGTAATCATAAACTTTTGAAACTCCGTCCGGATTCCTTGGATCTGCGCTATATATATAGATATATATATATATATATATATATATATTAGTATATAGAGATATATAATATGATTTCGTGACCAGCGGCCCCTGGGCCGTGGCCCCCGGGTCATGCAGGAGGCCCTGGAGCGAGGCTGCTGGAGGCCAGCGGCTCGAGCAGATCGGGCCGAGGGGGAGGCCGGGGCCCGCCCTTCGGGGCCGCCAGGCCCCGGTCCACCCGGGGAGGCCCAGGCCGGAGCTCTCGTGGGCGGCGCGCGCCAGGGGGGGGCCAGCAAGACGAAGCCAGGACGAGGGCGAAGTCGGGTGAGGATAGATCGAGCATCTCTCTGAGATCCGGCGGCTCCGCAGGATGTCTCGGGCGCCGCGGCCGTCTCGGAACGTCCTGGCACGGAGCGGATTCATCCTCGTCCTAGCCCAGTCCGAGTCGGGGGGGCGGCTTCTCAGAAGGAGGCCGTTTCTTGAGGCGCTGGCCGTACACCTATGGGTGAGGCCCGCGCCTGCTAAGAATCAGGGGTGCTTCTAAGGAGCCTTCCCCCACTACCCTACCCCCCATCTGCATGTGGCCGATTTCGGGCGAAGCTTGAGCATGATGTCCCTGGGGGCTCCAGCAAGCGGGGTTGATGAAAAGGAGGAGGGGAGGAGGCCGAGGAAAAGAGGTGAATGGAAAGGAGAGCACGACGACGACAACGACAATCATCTGAGATTGTTCGCTCCTATCTGCTCGCGTGTCACTCAGCATGTACATTCCAAATTCTCGATAACCGCCCTGCTCGTCTCAGATCGGACCCCCCCTTGCAGGTAGATCTTACCTGCCACTTGTAGTCGTCGCAGCCCCTAAACTAGAGGATTGGGGATGAGAAGGTGAAGGAGGAGGAATAGGAGAAGTGGCAGGAGTAGGACGAGGCCTTCATCCTACGAACTGGAACCCCCTGAACAGCACAGTAGCGAAGCTGTGGACAAAGGAGGAAGTAGCACCCAAACACCAGAGCACCTCCTGGATCACCATTCAGAAAACTGATCAGGAAACAAGGAACGTATATGTCAGCCCAGCTTCGAAGCGGCACACCCTTTCTGCGAAGGTTGGGAATCGACTAAGAGCATCTAGCTTGTCCCGTAGCGCTCACATCTGCATGTTCGCTGGCATTCGGAGTTGTGGCCGAGCTTGGGGAACTCGGACATACCAGGGCCAGATCGGGATGGGGCGACAGGCAAATCAACCGAAACTGTGTGAGGTTCTGACTTCCCGTCGAGACTCACTGCATGCACTCTCGGGGCCTTCGGCCAGCCGACCCCCGCTGGTGCTGGCAGCGCCCGCAGCGGCGCCCAGCTTCGATGCCGCTGCCGTGGCGCGCGAGGCAGGAGCCCCGCCCTTCGGCGGACGGAGAGTCGCGAGGTGGCGTTTACGAGCATGAGCACAAAGCAGAGGCACGGCATGGCATGGCCCCTGCTGACATGCCTCCCCCACCTTCGGCACAAGACGCAACATGAGGGCTGTGCAGGCCCTGTGCGCTTACGAGGCGGCGCCGGTGAGATCAGTGTATGTGTATGCGCGCATGCGGCCTCCCTGGCAGCTGCTGTTCGCATCGCACCTACATACGCGCTTTGTCCCCGGAGGCGAGGCAGAGAGTTGGCTGCACCAGCGATAGAGAGCTTAACGGGGACACCGAGAAGCGAATTGGCCAGCGTGCAAGAGCGGGAAGAGGACAGAGAACTACATACATACGCACACCGATTCCCCTAAAAGTGTTTGCGCTACGTAGGGGTTGCTTGCCCCACTTTCTGAGAAGCTGGCCTGGTGGATCGAAGCATCGCCCAAGGCGGGCGCTCCGTGGACGCCTCGTGCATGTGGGTGTCCCGGCTCGTTCGCCAAGTGGGCGCCCGTGGGGCGCTTCGGTGTAGGGCGTTTCGTGGACGCCTCGTGGGGGGCAACTCCACCTCCTCCTCCTCCTCCTCCTCCTCCTCCTCCTCCTCCTCCTCCTCGTCTTCCTCCTCCTCCTCCTCCTCCTGGGTGTGTCGGAGGTTCGCCCCGCGGGGGTGCCCGCTGGCGCTTCGTGATGGGCCCTGCGTGGGCGCCTCGTGTGAGCGGGCGCTTCGAGGCTGCGCCCGGTGGGCGCCCGCGGCAGCCTCGCGGGCGCCTCGTGCGCCGGGTTGGTGTGCCCGGATTTTCCCCGTCGGCGCGCGTGGCAGCCTCATAGGCGCCCCGTGCGCTGGCCAGTGGGCACGACGTGGACTCCTTTAGACACGAACCCCCGTGCAGGATCCGGACGTTGCAGCATCCTTCCGCGCAGTGCTGTTGTCATGCAAGTTGCGCGATCGGTCATCCTCCGTATGAGATCAGACCATTCCAACCAGGTCCGTCCGACCCCTCCTGACATCCTTGTCACATGAGAACATGCGGTGCAAACGCATTGATCTAACAAAACCTTTTTGTACGACCCCGCGCACACAAAACATGCGGGCCACACTTGCGCGCCCTCCCCCCCCGCGTGCGCATGTCGAAATCATTCGAAACCACTGTTTCCCACCGCTTTCCAATATACATCCTTCCAAGAGATATGGAACCCGCTTGCCTTTCAAAAGAAATGTCGGGTTTCTGCGCGAGTGCAGCAGCTAATCTCAGCAGCCCATAAGTTTCGTGTCACCCCTGTCACAAAAAAATGGAGACAGCACGTGTACGTCGGAATCCTTGATGGATCATGACGGCTAGAAACTTGCCCAGGTAGACCTCTGCGGGCCACCCCTCCCCTCCCCCCCAAAAAAATATGGTGCGGTGTGTTTTTCCCCGACATCATCAACATCATCATCCTCATCATCACCACCATCATCAGCACTCGCCCGCTCGCATCATGAATATGTTTAAGATGGGTTCGCGCGTCATTGCGCATGTTGGACCTTGCCAGCAATTTCAGATCGATAACTGCACTCTGTAACTGCACTCGCGACCTCGTGAGTATTGCCAAGAAGTTGCAGATGGGTGGTTTGGATGTTTGCCCAGGCATTGGCAATGGAATTGACGATGGCAAGATCTCCGATGCCATTACACCGAGCGATTTGAGCCACATGTGATACTCCACATAGCGTGCAATTTGCGCATGTAGGCACAAATGTGATCTCCGACTCGGAGCATGTAGGCAATTTGCGCGCACAAGTGGAACGTGCTCAGCCACCGTGGCGCGCCAACCAAGTTTGCCAAACAATGCAAGGTGTGCAACACGCACACGCTGCCGCGCGCGCTCGCCGAGACCAGCCCCACATAATGCAACACATACGAACACCCAAATGGCGTTCACTTAAAGTGTGCCGCTGTGACTGGATTTCTGCTGGCGGGCACGAGCTCATCATCCTAATCAGGGCACTCGTGAGCATCATCGGCAGCGTCAGCATCGCCGCCGTCATCATCACAATCACCATCGCTGGCGCCATCGTCACCATTGCTGCGCGCGGGCACTTGTTTATCAGCATCACCATCACCATCGCCAGCGTCGTGGTTGCCACCGTCAATCTGATCAGACATCGCATCGCCCCAATCCCCACTGTCATCGCCATCGGCATCAACGTCATCACCACTGCCACCGCCATCGTTACTGGCGCCGCGCCCGTCACCGTCGCAACCAGCGTGCCGCGCCCTGGAGGACGGACACGCCTGCGCGGGTGAAGCCCACGCGCTCGTGAGCTCGTTGAGATGATCATGACCGCGTGAGTGCTGCCAACGAGTTGTGGAAGGGTGGGTGGGATATTTACACGAGCATGGGAGGTGTTCTCGCGCGGTTGTTGCGCGGTGGGTGAATTGCAAGATGCAGGCTGCGCCGCACACGTAGCATGGACCGCATGTATTGCACCACATAGCGTGCACATCATGGCCCGCACCGTATGTTTAGCGTTGGGGTCAGCACTGGCATACAGACACACATGCACACAGCATCAGTCTGAAGTGATGACTGCTGTCGCAAATCCAACCATGACAATGTGCCAGGTGCCAAGCTAAGCTACGCCTTGACAACCGAAGGGGGCAAGCCGAACACCTTGCACGTTTGCTTCCCCAGCCACGGTAGCAGACTCAGGCCCGCCTGGCGTGCTACACTGGCATCTGCGGTTCTGGGCCGACGACGCCCAGGTTGAAGGGACAGGCTCCGCCCGCTCTCTCTAACAACCTAGCAGCGCGCACATACTGTTCATGTGGCAGATTGGACCGCGCCAAACATGACGCAAGAACGACTGAGCAGGAAGGAGGAGGGAGAGAGCGAGGGCGCAAATGATGCACGCGTATACGTTTTGAGCCGATCTCTCTCTCTCTCTCTCTCTTTCTCTCTCTCTCTCCCTCTCTCTCTCTCTCTGTTGTGTTGTGTTGTGTTGTTGTTTCTCTCTCTCTCTCTACACACACATATTTCTCTCGATATACATACATATATGTGCAAAGTAAGGGGGTGGGGTAATGGCAATATACATGTGTATACATACGCAAACTTACATACTCATAGGAGCACGGGGAGCGACAGCGAGAGAAAACCACAAAATCTGGGGAGGCGCAGGGATCACACAAACGAGGTGGGAGCGTGTGTAGTAGACGGGTACAAGGACAACCACTACGGCAGCGCTATCACGTGACATTATCAAGGCAGAAACGAGCCAGCGTTATCAAGTGATATGAGCAAATACATTAAGAATAGCGTGGTGTAAACCAAAACTGTATATATGAGTGTGCAAACAGCGAGGAAGGACGGGGATATAGAAAGGGAGAGAGAGAGAGAGAGAGAGACAGAGATAGAGAAAGAGAGAGAGAGAGAGCGATAGAGAGCGATAGAGATAGAATGAACGCCGAAGAGAGAGAAAGAGAGACAGAGAGGGAGAGAGACACTCGTGATAGAGAGAGCGAAGGGATACCAGAGGGCGCCCCCTCAGCCATCTCAACAGTATGGTGGCTCCAATATCTGCTGCAATACTATTGCCACCGATGGTGCTGCTGATGGTGTTGGTGTTGTTGGTGCTTGTGCTGGGGTTCTGGCACTGCTACCGCTACAGGTACTGCTGTTACTGCTGGCGCAGATGGGGGGCGCACCGGGTATCAGTCAGAAATCAACTCGAACTACTGCGAAGTCCTGCTGGTGACGCAACACCAGGCGAGACTGGGCTCTGCCAGTGGGCCATGGAGGCATACCCGAGTGCAAAGAAGGCGACGTGCGACGGTGCAAGTGGACAATGCACTTCAACGCCGATGTCCAACTCGGGACCCGCCTGGGCGCCGCCTCAGCACCGGGGGCGACTACCGCCGTCGATCGTGACAGTGCTGCTGCTAGTTTCTGCGGTCTGCTCCTGCTTCTGCTCTATGTTCAACTAGTGATACGGCTGCTGCTTCTACCACTACTGCTACTACTAGTGGTACTACTGGTACTTCTTCTACTACTACTACTACTACTACTACTACTACTACTACTACTACTACTACTACTACTACTACTACTACTACTACTACGACTACTACAACTACTACGACTACTACGACTACTACGACTACTACGACTACTACGACTACTACGACTACTACGACTACTACGACTACTACTACTACTACTACTACTACTACTACTACTACTACTTCTACTACTACTACTACTACTACTACTACTACTACTACTACTACTACTACTACTACTACTACTACTACTACTACTACTACTACTATTACTACTACCCTACGACTACTACGACTACTACTATACTGCTACCAACACTACTACTCCTACTACTACTACTCCGACTATTACTACTATACTACTACTACTACTACTACTACTACTACTTACTACTACTACTACGACTACTGCTACTACTACTACTACTACGGCGACGACGACGACAGCTACTACTACTACTTAGATCACTGCTGGTACTACCACTACTACTACTACTACTACTACTACTACTACTACTACGACTACTGCTGCTACTACTACTACGACTACTACTGCTACTACGACTACTACTACTACTACTACTACTACTACTACTACCGCTACTACTACTACTACTGCTACGATTACTACTACTACTACTACTACTACTACTGCTACTACCATTACTACTACAACTACTACTACGATTACTACGACAACTTCTACTACTACTACTACTACTACTACTACTACTACTACTACTACTACTACCCCTACTGCTACTACTACTCCTGTTCGTACTACGCCGACGACGACGACTACGACTACTACGACCGCTGCACCTACTACTAGTATTATTACGACTACTACTACTACTACTACTACTACGACGACGACGACGACGACGACGACGACTACTACTACTACTACTACTACTACTACTGCTACTACTACTACTAGTACTACTGCTACTACTACT